TCATAATTTATGATAATATTTTGCTACTAAAATTGAATTCTTTTTTGGTAAATGCATTTTTTAAAAAATTCCAAAATTTTTCTATGTAACAACATTTTTTATATAATTGTGATGTAAATTAGAAAAATTTAATAAGGATATGAACTTATAGTATTACACATGTAGTATATAAAAATATTAAAACAAATTTTTTTTTTTTAAAAAAGAATTCCTCAGCTTTTGTCTTTTTGTTGTTATTTTTCAAATTCTTCAAATTATTCAAACTCATCAAATGGTAATATGAATTATGCAATTCTTCAAATTCTTCTTATTCTACAAATTCTTCAGTTACCATTTAGTGCCTATATGTGCCAATTTGTTCTAATTTTCTTTTGGTTTGAGTTCTTTGTTTTCTTTGTTATAAGAAGTAGTTTTCCAAACGCATATGGTTTATTAAAATTCTACTTTGATTCTATTTGATATTAGATTTGTATAAAAGTTCAGTTGTAATAAAATATAGTCTTAAAATATAAACTGTTAATAAAATAGTTATATTTAATAATTATCTATATTTTAATTTTGTAGAGTTAACTCTCTAAGTATCTTCCTAGTCACACCATTCCGATTTACCCGAATCAATCTCTTTTCCATTCCTTTCATCCTAATCTCGACCATGTTCTATCCGTCGGTGTCTCAATGTAGTTATGGAAATCCATTTTATTAAATAAACCTGTAGACATTAATACAAAATATGTTTTCTAATTGAGTTAGTAATGTTACCTTGTACCTTGTAAGAGTTTACGTCCACCGTGTTCTCCCATTTCATCTTCTTGGGTCATTTCTTTGTGTACATCTCTTTCTTTTTAACATAAACATTTTCGGTTAAATCTCGAACCCCGGACTTCAAACCGATAACTAAAACACCACACGGACCGACTTACTTCGTATCAATTTATGATCCTCGAAAGATGACAACACACTTAATGTAATCTATTAGTTTGGTGTACCCTCGCAGGACGTTGCATAATCTCTCATACTGATTCTTTCTTTCCTCTTTGTAGATTTCTTAGCTTGACATTGAAGTCATGAGCTTTATTTCCAAAATATTAACATGTAGTATAATAACAATAAACAAAATACATGAGACAAACCAAGCCTAATGTCTAAATACAAAACTCAAAACTTGTGGATATAAATATTTCCAAAAACAAATAATTTATATGAAGAAATAGAATTAAGAAAAATATTGTTATAATTAAAACACAAACTATAAATGTATTTTAGTCATAAATAACAATTTAGATCATTAACAAAATGTTAAACTACAACTTTTGAAGAACTCAGAACTCTGAAAAGGTTAACACCAAAGATATAATATAATTTCTCAATTTCTAAGAAGCTCCTTTCTGATCGGCAATTAAACCTCTTTCTTCTTCAATATATATATTGGTCACAAATTACAATGACAATGCTTTCATTGTTTTCTATTGGAAGGTGTTTCTATATACCAGAAAAGAGTCGGTTTTAAAATAGTTAAAACTAAGACGTATTGCGGATATTGAAGAATCATTACTAAGCAATACTTAGATGATCACTAAAGCTTTTTTAAGACGAATATCAAGAAGAAAAAATCGTTAAATTAGGTGGTCTATAAACTGTACCAATGTTTACAATAAGGAATAAATAAATATAGAAGATTAATGAAAATAAGCATTGATATTGGAATCAACCTTTTTAAAATGTTATTTCCAATCTTTTATGATTCTCCTGTTTGATTTTTTTGAATTCATAGCTAAATTAGACAGAAAAACTATAGCCATATTTATAATATTAGATTTAAAAAAAAGCATGACAAAAAAAAGAGATCGAACCACCTTTTAAAAACTTTTGCTTTGATCCCTTACCTTCCTTTTTTACGAAACCTTGTTCTCACTAACCTTAAAAAATACAAAATCACAAAATTATAGGAGAGTGTATTAAAAAAAAAAGATAACAGGAACAAACGGAATTCACACATGCGTTGGATTAAGAGAATTAGCTTAGCGATTTGATCAAGAGATGAGTTATAGCTCTTTGGTTCAAGTGATGATGGTGATCTTTTTAAAAATTGTAGTAATCAAGGATGTTTTGCACATATTTCTTCACCAATATACACAAAATC